CACATTTCCTCTCTAATATATTCTGGAAGTATATTCATCTCAATGTAACCTCTGAAACTACTTAAAAAATGTGTACCACCACTTAATTGTTAATAACAGGTAAATCAAAGGTAAAAAGATAACTAATTAATTTTCTAGCTCAGTTTTATTTTACTGTTACTGTTTTGAGAAAATATAACAAAACCCCATTAGTGTTAAGGTAAGCCCATGAAACAACATAATATAATGCAAAAAAGACATTTAATAGTGTAGAGGAATGTTAAATTACTAATTAACTCCAAGTTACTGTATAAGAAAGCATAGTAATTTACAGGATTATTGCAATATGCAGCTTGGATTGCCACTAGGGTCAGCTAGGGAGCATTTCTTTCTATACCCCCCCGCCCCTTAGTGTGGTGGTTACTGTAAAAATCTTCTCACATTAAAATGCACTGTCCTACCCACAGTTCATTGCTGCTAATTAGCAGCAGTTGAGATTTTGCTAGCAGTCATTTTTTTCTGTGTTAAGCTGCCAAATGTTACCAAATGCTCAAGATTCTCCATGTACAAAGTGTCCAGCTGCCCAGCTTGCACCACTATGTGTGTCTTTCAGCTGTTTCCTGTCAACTTTAACACCTGTGCAAAGAAAACACTAATCAAATTATCTGTACTGGCTTTTGTTATCAGAGGGAAGGTTATCAAAAGTGTTCTGGATACTTTGGCACATGCTCATCATCTATTGCTAGAAAATCTCACTAGACACACACATACACACTCACACACACACACACACACACACATTCCTTTTCATCTAAGCATCCAATTGAGACCATAACTCTCTAAAACTTAAATCACTCCAATATCTGCCTTGTCAAAGTCAAGTGTTTGCACAGTCTATTTAAACTTTTATTTAAGCAAAAAGGCTTGGGAAAGTCATCTTTTAGTTTTACCTAAATATATAAGAAGAATGCCATAACTTTGATTAATAATTGATTAAATAAACCATTCCTACATCAAAGACAGGAAGAAGAGCTGTTCGCTGAAAGGCTAGACTATCAAATAGGACTTTGTTGTCTTCAACATTGCTTTAGAACTACAGCATTACAGAGTAAGAAGAACATTAATTTTTGAGGTCTTAAATAATCACATAAAATAAAATTGACTCCTTTTTTCCTTAATTAAACACTAGTAGTGTTAAAACACTATAAATCTAGAAATAATCACACAGCCTAATAATTTCCTGTCTATTCCATTGGCTTTATGACTAATTTATATTTAACCTTCTTGGGAACCTACAATCGGAATGTACTTTTTTAAAAAATTGAAAGCAACTGTCATTGGTGTCTAATACCTGGGCAATAGGGAATAGGGTCTTAAAACATGTTTTAAAGCTAAAAGATGATATATAATGTATTACACTGATTGTAAGGTTTAGTAACACACAGCCACTGCTTTCTTACAATTACAGGGCAATTGATAAATACGTAACTTTTGTTCTGATTTTCTATTTATCATGATGTATTAAAGTGATTATGTTAAGTAAATAAATGTATGCATAAATGCATGCTAATATTTACATCAATAATAGCATTACAGTAAATTTAATCAGACAATCAGACTTGAAAGGGGACAGATTTCAGCCTGTATCTGTTTCATATATATGTTTTTTAGATCTTGGTTGAAATTTTATAGTATAACTGAATTTGTTTTTACTTTGTTTGTACTTAAAAAAGGGAAAAGGATTGTAAAATATACCTGTGATATGAGTATAACATTCACCATGCTGACAGGAATGAATCCACTCTGACTATGATCAAAACTGTAGCAAAACTATAGCCCTAGGGTAACAGAGAATGAGTGTCAACTACATTTTGCTGTTAAGTTTCACAAAAATCCCCTCTAGGATTTTCAATCACAATATTTGGAATCTATATTCATGTTACAGTTATAAAATAATAAGGAAGACTCACAAAAAGTATAAGAGCTCCAATTTCAGAGACATAATTTTGTGATTTAAGAAAAAATATTCTTTTAATTGTTACTTTTTATAAAAAAGGACAACTTTTGTTTAATATTCATGGCTAGCTTACTAGAGATTTATATAAAATTTCTGCTCGTATAGCATTACTCTCTTTTTAAGATACTATTTATTCAGCCAAAATTATTAAATGAGTACAAATATAAGATAGCATCACTATGATTCCTGATCAAATACTTTTGCTTTCTCCTCTTTCTTTCATCCTGTGTATATCTGCACTTGAAGACAGGTAGCTGGTAGAGGAACTTAAACGGTTGCTTTTTAATTCATAGCAAAACAAATGATTTTATAGATACTGTTAAAGAAATGTACAAAAAAAATTATTTAAAGCCAATCATTGATTCTATTTGTCCAAGTACCTGATTTTTCATAAGCAAATAAATGCCTTCCGAGTATGAAGCAGGACTTTGTACAAGTTGATTAACCTCACTGAATCTCAATAACTCAGTCTATGAATTGGGATTAATAATACCTAGCTTTTAGTTCTGTGTAGATGAATAGTCTGTGTGAACCAGAACGGGAAGGTCTTGTACTTTCCTGGTGGGTTGCATATCTTCCTGATGCAGAAGTGGCCAGACTCCATGAGCCACTGCTAGTCATGCTTGCCCTGATTTCTTCTTTATCAAATTTTACACAGGAAGGAGTTGAATGTAATAAACTCAAGCTGCAGTATAGCTTGAGTGTAGCTAAAGATAAGACCTCTTCTCCTCCAAAAATGTATTTTTGTGTGAAATAAGACTAATTGATCCATTGGATGGTTGAAAAATTATCCTCCAGGTTGGTTGGATTGAGAGAAAGGTTAGCTGTTTTAAATTGATGTTCCAACAGTACCACTGAAATTTCATGGAAGAATCTTACTAATAATATCATCCCTTCCTATATGTATGTCTTGTAAATTTGACTTCCTAATAATATCATCACATCCTACATACATGTCTTGTAAATTTAAACACTCATGTGTTAGTCAGAAATAATTTTCTCTAAGGCGCTATTAAAATGTGACATATTATTATCTTGTGGGCTTTGAAGAGGAATCAAAAATAATTAAAAATGGCTGCTAAAAAAGTAAATATGTATGGCATAAAGAGCCTAGAGGCAGCTGATAATCTTTAGTTGGATTACTAGCAATAAAATGTGAATATGTGGTCCTTAGGGAGAAAATGCCACTAAATAAACTTTGATTTGTTTCCTCAAATCATGAACTTCATGTAATCTTAGATAATATGAGCTTTGGTACAATTTTGGACAGGACAATCACCAAGTAGTTACTAAAGACTTATAAAGTAGAAATAACCTTGATTTCGCTTGAAAAATAAATAGCTATGCTAGGCAGCATTAAAAGGTGATGTATAATGAATGATGGCAATGGTGATTATGGCCACCATTTGTGAAGCCCTTACCAGGTGCTAATCGTTTATCATTCAACAAATAGTATGGATTTCCTACTCTGTTTCAGACATCACTCAGGGTGTTGAAGGAAATAGCAGTTAACAAAACAGGCAACATTTTTGACTTCTTAAGATTATATTCCATTGAAGGGAGAGAGGCAATAAATAATAATAAACAACTGAGATAAACAATTACACTAAAGTAAATATTTTAATCCCAATTTCATGGATGAGGAAACAGACAGAAAGGTTAAGTCATTTGCCTGTATTCCAAAGCTGGCATATGGCAGAGCCAGAATCCAACCTATATGATTCTTTCTAGTACATTTTGCTATGTGTCAGTAAATACACACCACAGGAAAAGAGACAGATGTGGATTTTGTTGTTTTGTGCTGGAACTAAACCATGGTTTCTTAAACAAAGACATCTCTGGCTCCATTTCTAAAGGAGGCATAGTATTTATATAGAATTTACACTGGACACATTCAAAAGTAAAGTGCTGATATACACTGAATTGTGTTTGGAAAGCAGGAGAATATTTATTTGGCATGTTAGAAAGTAGAAGTATATAAGAAGGAGGTAAGGTCCTTGTTGGAAGAACACAGAGTGACAGATGAAAGGATCTTGACTATCCTGCTTATAATCCATAGGCATATTTAAAATTTTTAAGGTAAGTAAGCCTGATAGTTGCATTATAGAGAGATTAATGGGGTCACTGTGAATGCACAAAAAGTTGAAGAAGTAGGAGATTAGATGTCAGAATATCTAGTTAAAGGCCAATACAATAGTGTAAAATCAGGTTAAGTTGATTGCAGTAAAACAAACCAATTCGGAAAAAAATTACAAATAACCTAACTAGAAAAAATGATTAATGGAGAGGATTTAAATTTAGAGGAACAATTGAGGAAGAGTGAAAAATGACATGAGCCCAGAACTGGAGAAGACATTAGAAGGTCAGGAATGGGGCCAATTTCTAGAAGATGTTAGGTTTTAGACATGATGAATCTGAAATGCTCATGCTGAGTCTGAAATGCTTGAGCTGTAAATCGCTGGCCTCTACTCTTTACTTTAGTCCATGACATCCGTTGCACCTTGCCTTTTCTAGTCACCTCAAAGTTCTTTCCAGTAAAGGAAGGCTCTTTTGTGGTTCCGACTCCCTGAAAAACCAAGTAAAGTCTTCTGATTCTTGACATGTTTTGTCTTCATCTGGAAAGTCAGATTTAATCAAACCTACTTAACTGGAGTCATTTTTTATTAGTATATCAAAATCCCAACAGAGTTCTCAATAGTCATAATTTTTTATTTATGATCTGATTGCAAAAAAAATCTAAAACAAAAAAGATAATAAAAATACATGTCTAAATATCAATACCAAAACACATGAAATATGTTTGGAGAAATGATCCTGACTTGATCCTGACTATAAAATACAGTTTCTTTTCAAACTCTGCTAACATGGAGATCTATTTACTTAGTTTTATCCAGTGTGGATAGAATATCGTGCTTTGCTTTTGAAAAGAAAGGTTCATTTTGGATGAAATAGAGTAGGAAAAGTGAGAGCTGAGAATAACCAGCTTTTATCTTCTTCATTCCAGGCCACTGAAGGAAGTCAGTGCCTGGGATTCTGAGATGCAGCCACACCATAAAGTTTCATTACTCAGTTGCAGTAGAGAAAGCCTCAAAGGAACCACTTCTAATGGAAGCTGCCTCATTTCCTGGTCAAGTTTCACAGTGGAGGTGCTCTGAAGTAGGTGCTCTGAAGTGCTCTGAAGTGAAAAGTTCACTTCATGAGAAGTTACAAACTAATTGTAAAGTATCTCAAAAAATGATCAAGATACCCCTTTTCTCTTATGGTATATGACTAATAACTTGATATATTTTTTAAGGATCTGCAGCATAAAAATTACTTTAAAATACCATTTAGTACTACCCTACTTTTTAAAGTAAATGCTGCTGAATATAATATAAACTTTCTAATAGTTTATAATGTCAATTCATCTTTTATTTTTTCTGAATTGTTATTTAGTTCTTCATTTAATTTTTTCAGGGTCAATTTATTTTTCATTTCCTTTCTGGACATACTATTTTCAGTTTTAATTTTCTACTGTCATGACTTCGAAAGGTTACTGAATTGCTTCATGTCTAATCTGTTTAGATATGGTCAAACTCTCACCACTGCTCTAAGTTAGGCCTAAGTTAGGTTTAAATGGAAAGGTGGATAGTATAAAGGGAGAGGAGGAGGGAGAGGGAGAGAGAGAGGGAGAGGGAGAGGGAAGAGTGGGGAGGGGGGGCAGAGAGACAGAGAGAGAGAAAGCCCAAAGGTAGGAAAAGTCAGGCAGGAGTTAATGTTGCAGCCTTGAAGCAGAATTTCTTTTCTGAGAAATCCTGAATTTTGCTCTCAAGGCCTTCAACCGGTTTGGATAAGCCTTACCCACATTAAAGAGGGCAATTTCTTTTATTTAAAGTCAACTGATTATAGATGTTAACCACATCTACAAAATAAAATCACAGTAACTCCAAGATTAGTATTTGATTAAATAACTGAGTACTATAGGCTAGTCATCCTGATGCATAAAACTATGGTAGATAGATTTAACAAACTGTTTTTATGATAGTTTCATGGTTTTCAAAGAGTAATTCATTTTAAAGATATTCATTGAGTGACTTTATGTGCCAGGCACCAGTATGAATATAAACTTATGGATATGAAGCAGCCTAAGATAAAATCCTTGCCTTCCAGGAACTTACAATATCCTCAGAAGATAGACGTACAAACAAGTTAATATGATGCAACTTGACAAATGTTAGTTTTAAGCACAAGCAGAGGAAGATGGGAGCATAGAGAAGAGGAAATTTCTCCTGCGCAGTTAGTTCAAGAATTCTTCCTGGAGAAAGTGACCTCTGAATTAAATGTTTAGGGAGTCTCTAATTTACTAAGCAATACTTACAAAAATCTGTTATGCCAGTTGCAGTTCTAGGGGCTGGGATTCTATAGAAAAGATCTCAACTTTCATAAAGATACCTTCTTGGGAGGGAAGTGAGATGCTAACACAAGCAAACAAGTAATTAAAATCCTCATTAGTGATTAGAGCTACTTAAAATATATCAAGGTTATATGATTCAGCCTCCATTTTGCTGTTGTAACATTGAAGCTGAGACATGAAAGACAACAAGGAAATAATGAGTAGGTGAAAGGAAATGCATTTCCAAGCTTCGGAAACAGCAAGAGTAAAAGCAAATCAACAGTCGCAGTTAAAGCAGCGTTAAAAGATTTTATTTTTTTAAAATTTGGTTTTGAAAAATGCTTGATCCAGTCTAATTGTCATATTTTATTTACATTAAATTTAAATATTAAATAATACCTTAGTGTAATTTAAATTTACCTCCTTGGTCTTAAATAGTAACTATGCTTTATTTCTTGTCTCCCATCTTCTTTATACTCTTCTTAAGTTATCGCATGTATATGTGAATTTTCTATAACTGACTTACAAATTTTTAAGTAACAGGGAGTGTGTTTACCTGGTGCAGTTTAAGAACCCATTAAACACAAAGTACTGAATAACTGAAGAATGGATGTGGTAGGCTGGTAACATCTCCCAAAATTACATCCAAAGATACTTTCCATCTCCCCCAAACCTATGTATGTTACCTGATATGCTAATTTTTTTTCAGATGTGACTAAGTTAAGGATTTTGAGATGAAGAGATTATCCTGAATTATCTGAGTGGATACTCAGATACTCAGATGTCATCACAAGAAGCTTTAGAAGAGAGAAGCATGAAAACCAGAAGAGAAGGAGGAGGCAACGGGACCATAAAGACAAGAGATTAGAGTGATGTGGCCACAAGTCAAGAAGCGCCAGCGTCCAGCAAAAAACTGGAAGTCAGGAGCAGAATCTCTCCTAGAGCCTGTGGAGGGAATGTAACCCTGCCAATAACTTGATTTCGGCCTAGAGAAACTGACTTCAGACTTCTGGCCTCCAGGATGGCAAGAGAATTAAATTGCTGTTATTTTTAGTCAAGTATGTGGTAATTTTATTACGACAGCCACAGAAAACTAGTACAGTGGATTTTTAGCATATTAAAGAGCAGTAGAATTGTGATTTTATCAATACCTACTGGATGGCAGGTTTCCTCTGCAGCAGAAGAGAATAAAATGTTGACTAGGTAAGGCTGACCACCAAAACTTCTGCCATGAACTCAGCAGTGTGAACAGATCCTGGGAATCTATGTACGCATAAAAGGCCATGAACATTTTGCATTTTCTGATTTGAACTGAATAGGCATTCTACTCTGTAAATGTTTCCAAAAAACTAAATATATCTTTATGTTAACCCTTTGCTAGAGATGTTTAAACAAACAGAAAAATATCAGATCTTATTCACCATTTTTGATGTCAGTAAAGTGTGTTATGCAAATTGGCTTCAAAAATTAAAACCTGTAACACAATTTGAGTCTTGAAATGTATGCTATGTATGATCTTAAAAACATGTAGGTAGGTTTATTAGTTCTTGGAGGTTCATAGTATTTCATATGTATTTCAGACTATATGTAGGGAATTGCTGACAAATCTTGGTATGACTAAATCCATCATCATGTTTTGAAATGTCACCAAACTGAGCCCACATATTGTGAAGAGTGAATATAGTGTATGGCCTCAAGATTTTGTCTTATAATTTAAGTTTCAATGTCCACACCTCATCTAAATTAGGGTACCATTTGGACTCACATGTTTAACTAAATAAATTTATCACTGAGTAATTACATTAAACACAAATTTATCTTAAAGATGTACAAATTGTTTTCATTGAGGAGAGTAGTTACTTTGGTAGCATGTTAACAAACCCCTAGGAAGGTAGTTACTTTGGTAGCATGTTAACAAAGCCCTAGGAATTATAAGACTGTATTTTCATGGAGGCATACATGTGTAGTAATTGTAAAATGGTTCTGTTTTCATATTTGGATCTTTTTATATGAGTGTCTGTGTTAAGAATTACCCATAATAAAATAAAATCTTAATTTGATAAAATTAATATATAGAAATAAACTTTATAAATCATAGACTTTCAAGATGATCAAAGAACCTTTCTGATCATCTAGTCTCACACCTTTTTTATAGAAGACTAGACTAAAACTCACAAATGTAAATGATCTCACTAAAGGCATATGGCAAGCTATTGGACAAACCAGGAATAAAACACAGGTCTTCCGACTCCTAGTCCAGGACTCATCACAAACACCATGACTCATCATTTTCATTGTAAAAGACTCTGGCACAAGCTGTTAACTCATTAAATGGCTAAAGGAGGAAAGGTAAAATAGTAAAACAGAGTGAAGGTGATACCACCCTATTGAAGATCATTCTAAATTAAAGATAGATGTCTTTGAGATTATAAATAAAAATATACTTCGAATATATTTGACCGCAATGTCAATTTTAAAATATTCAAAGTTAGTTCTTCAAAAAACTAATAATAGAACTACAATATGATCCAGCAATCCCACTATTGGGTATATATCCAAAGGATAGGAAATCAGTATGTCTAAGAGACATTTGTACTTCCACGTTCATTGAAGCATTACTCACAGGAGTCAGGACCTGGAATCAACCTAAATGTTTATCAGTGGATGAATGGATAAAGTAAATGTAGTATATATACACAATGGAATATTATTCAGTCTTGAAAATGAAGGAAACTCTGTCATTTAAGACAACATAATTCAACCTAGAGATCATTATCTCTAGGTTGTGAAATAAGAAAGACAAATACTGTATGATCTCACTTAAATGTGGAAGCTAAAAAAGTTTAACTCACACAAACAGAGAGTAAAATAGTGGTTACCAGAGTCCTGGGAATTAGTAGCAGGGGTGAAAGGATTGAGAAGATGGTGATCAAAGCACACAAAACTTCAGCTGGAATGAAGGAATAAGTTTAAGAGTTCTATTGTACATCATAGTGACTACAGTTAACCACAATATATTGTATACTTGAAAATTGCAAAAAAATTGATTTTAAGTGTCTTTACCACAAACAGATAATTATGTGAGGTAATGGACATGACAAAGAGCCTGATTTAGCCATTCCACAACGTATCCGTACAGCAAAACATCATATGGTATACCATACGTATATATAATTTTTACTTGTTTATTAAATAAATAAAAATTTGAAAAAATATATGTTTTATCTTTCAAAGAAGATTCAGAATTTAAAATATTAAATTTAAACTACAGAAATGTTAGTCTAAGTTTGGATTTTCTAATACAAAATATTACTCCTTATCACTAAATATTAGGTAAAAATATTATTTTAATTTTCTTTTATATCTAGATGATCAGCAAGGTTATTTGATCATCTTAAAAGTCTATGATTTATAAAGTTTCTTTATATTAATTTGTTAATTTCTACATATTAATTTGTGTTATTAATTTTGTTAAATTAAGATTTTATTTTATTATGGGTAATTCTTAAAGCAGACACTCATATAAAGGATCCAAATATGAAAACAGAACCATTATACAAAAGATTTTAGTATTCTTTAAAATAGTCTCATTTATCTTAATTGTTCATTAAAGATCTATAATCCATTATGTCTATGTATATTGAAAGGAAAAGACCTAGTTTTGGGCCTTTACTTTGGAAAAACTATGACTCTTTAACTCTGTTTTCTCATCTATAAAGTGAACTTTTGAGAACATTCAACTAATTTGCAATTATGGTGAGAATATGTGAAAGTGCTCAGCCTCTGTCAAATGCTTCATGTGGGGTGTGTGTGTGTATGTGTGTGTGTGTCTGTGTGTACATGCGTGGGCATTTGCATGTATTTGTGTGCCTGTGTTTGCGATAATAATTTCTATTTACTTGACTGTCATGATCTAGTAGTACAAAGACAAAAGGTATGTCTATTTAAAAAGCTAGAGTGCAAGAAAGAAAGGCAAAAAATACTTCCTTCAACGAAAAGTAGATTTAAAGGGAGGGATGAGTTTTATTCAAAACTATGACTACTGCTTCTCATTGTCAGGGAAAGTAATATCACTAGGAGTTACATGGAATAAAGGGAAAGTAATATCACTAGGAGTTACATGGAATAAATGCTTAAATAATGATCGGGATAGATAGCTACTTACTCTGACTAATAAGAAATGAGTGACCTTTAAAATGACTCAGATTCCCAAAAATCTCTGACTCTATAATCTGTGTTTTGTTCTACATAAAATTAAACAATAAATCTAGTTAGAAGCAAAATTAGAAATCTAAAAGAGATGAGGACTGGGACCCAGGGGACCAAAGTTCTACTCTTCGGTTTGTGACCTTGAACAAATCACTAAATCCTCCCGGGCTTCAGCCCCATTACTTTCAACATGAAGGGGGTCTAAGGTCCCTCCAGCTTTAACACTTGGTGACACTATGATTCCAGTTCATAGCTTCTTGCTCACAATATTTGACACTTTGTTGACATACTGTCAGAAACTTCACACATTTTCCAAAAGCTATCACAGAGTATTATTAGGTCATTAATGCAGAGTTTTAAGAGGAAACTATAAAATATCTTTCACTGGGTATTTGATATAGCAACTATGTTTATACTACTGGATTCCTCCGTGATGATAGATAGATAGATAGATAGATAGATAGATAGATAGATAGATAGATAGATAGATAAAGATATACTTCTAAAAGAAATCAACTATGTTAGGCTAATACACTGTAAGTAATAAAGTTGTAATACAAGTGTATGTGACCAAAATATCTTCATGTAAAGCTTCTGCTTATTCCTACTCAGCTAATGATATAGAGATAAAATGTATCTGAGCCCATTTGTGCTTATGAATGTAAAGTAAAAATTATTTATTTGTGTGTGTATATATACACATCAGTGTATGTATATGTATATGTGTAAATAGAAAAATTCTGTAAAAATTGCTAAAAGATGTATACATTATAATGTTTTATTGTATATACTTCTGTGCCATTTTACTTTTCTACAATGAGCATGTAACTACTTAATTTTAAACTAAAAAATAAAACAGAAAATGTAAACATTTCTAGCCTTATGCAAAATTGTGTAAATTTCTTTTGTAGATTTCTGTGATTTATTTATTTTTTCTTTCATAAATGGCATACACATGTAGTATATATCTCTATCTTTCACTAGCTGTGTCTGTATGTATATGTAAATTATATCCAGTGTGTGTTGAGCACTTACTGTCCCAGGCATTGGTCTAAGCACTTTAATTATGATATACAACTCAGTACCCATGACACCCTTGAGTAGATTATTTTTACTACCACATACTGATTGAGCTGTGCTACTCAATGCTTATTTTCTTTTTTTAAAATTCATTTATTACACTTTAAGTTCTGGGATGCATGTGCAGAACGTGCAGGTTTGTTACACAGGTATACATGTGCCATGGCGGTTTGCTGCACCCATCAAGCCGTCATCCGGGTTTTAAGCCCCACATGCATTAGGTATTTGTCCTAATGCTGTCCCTCTCCTTGCACCCCACCCCCTCAACACCTATTTTCTAGTGTTTTTACTTCTCTTTTGTAAACAGGAGAACAAGCTATACCTATGTTGGAAATTATTACAGTCAGAAGTTTGCCCACCTCAGATGGATCTGGAGACTTCCTTCCCTAGAGCATTTAGCAATCCCTTTCATTCTTCTCTTGGGCATCATTAACATACTCCTTTTCCCTGACTAGCCTTAATCCATACCCTATCCATTCTTCTCATCAGACAGGCACTTTTTCATTCTAACATACTTGACTATATTTCAGATTGTGTGTCTTTGCCTGCGTGTATGCTATTATCAATCATTATGCTTTCCAAATTCATGCTGAAGAGTGGTTTTGCCATTCCTTACACAAGATTTAGTTTTAGTTTAAAACTCAAACACATCATAGGAATCATCATAAAAATAGATTTATACACATGTAAAAGAGAATCAGAATACTGATTAATTGTTTATGCTTTTCATATAAGTAATAAAGCCAGCAATTAAGAATTTCATTGATAGATTATGGTAGAATCCTTGTGCAGGCTTCTTAGCCCATATCCTGGCTCTGAGCAGAACTGAACTTAAGCCTTCGGAAGACAACAGTCTGCCATTTTGCCTTATTCTCACAGATAAATTACTTTATAGCACTTTAGTGAAGAAAGGAAGATGTATTATTTAACAGCTCCCCAAATCATAGCAAACAGGCTTAAATTTATTAATTGATTTTATCCATTTTGCTTTGAAAAAGTAAATAAGTAAAGTAGAATCAAATGAGCCATATAATTCCAGCCCATTGAATATTTTAAACCAAACTGGAAATTAATGAGGTGATTAAGGAAAAAAAAAAACAACAACTGTAAAAGGAGATAAAAACAAGAGGCCTTAAGTACTTAATCTGGAAGAACACAATTGTAAATACTTTTTGCTCTATTGAATGAAAATAAGAATATTTTGTTCCAATCTACACTCCTCCCCTGAGCACTGCCACCTAGGAAGGGCTTTTTGAGTGACACTTTTGGTCCTCGAGTGGACCTTTCTGTGACACCTTTCTCAGCAGGCCTCCGCCCCCCAGTAGGCCTGCAGGACTTGCTCCTGCTGAGGAAGGCTCACACAGCGTTTCGCTCTCTTATCCTACTGTGGCCATGTGGCGCTGGTGTGAAGGAAAATAAGCTAGAATAGCAAAGATACATCTCGCATGAAGTACTAGGCCACAATTGAAGTGGCAGAGACATCATTGTCAATCAATAAAATTTCTCCTGTCTTTGTAGCAAGTCTAACTCGGTTAATTCAGACAATCATCCCCGCAGCTGTACAAGACAATTAGGTCTAGAGATTCAAATCTATGCAATTGGTAAATAATCCCAAGAATAGGCAGAAGGCTATAAAGCAGTGTTACCTGTCCCTTCACATTCAAAAGCATTTTGACATTCAAAAGCTCTCACACGGGCACATGATAATTAAAGTTAAAAGATTATGACAGCTGCATTTTAAAGAGTAATAGTGTTACAATTAACATTAATTGTTAATTTTGCCTTTAAAATGAAGTAAAAAATAAATGCAAACTTTTGCCAAAAGGTAGTACCAAAAGTGTGTTTTATTGAAAATTATTCTAACCTTCCCCCATGCTGCAACTCTCTCCACAAAATAAAACATTTGCCAGTTAATGTGGACCTGATGTAACTGTTCTAGTCAGAAGGTCAAACATACTGAATCTGCTGCCAGAGCCAAGTTCAGATGAAATGTATGATAAACACAGAAAGTAAAACCTTGCAGTGAGCTATAAATACTCATAAATACACTAAAATTTATAGTTCATTATGCTCCTGTTTTGTCCTTCCTGCCAAAGTCAAAAAGCTCACGGACCTTCGTTTTAAAAGAAATTTACTGTACATTAGGAAGCAAGCCACATGGTGGTCCAAAACACTGCCAGTTCTCAGCAGGTCAAATACGTGCTGATTGAGGATTTGAACTAGGTGCATCCTATGCAGTGCTACATACGAACATTGAATTTTGAGCACAGGGCACATGTGTGTGTGTACTTTTAAATTATTCTCTAAAGTCACTATTGTTTGAAACTATCTCATCATTCAAATAAATGACAGAGAAATTGCCAGGAAGTTTTTCCAGTTTTCTAATATCATCAGCTATGTAAAAATATCCATTAAAAAGGAACTAGCATATCTATGGCAATGAAGTATAGAGGTTTTATGTGGCTCTGGAACCATCAGGTAAAATCAATTTTTTAAAAAATACAAACCTAAATCATGTTTACTTTTAGCATATTTAAAAATTCAGATATGAACTGTTATTTTCTTTCAATACAGACCTGTTTATGAATCTATTTTTATTCAATTTTATTTAATGAGTACATTCTCTATCAAAAAATATCTCAATATGAAACTGAAAATGTTTCAATTACCTAGTATATTTGAAGAAATATAATAGCCATATCATATAGGGCTTTGCTACTCAGTTGTGTGGCCTGGGCACCAGCACTATTGTCCTAGCTTGGAAGCTTCTAAAAATTTTAGAATTTCAAGCCCTTTTCCAGAACTACTGAATAAGAATCTGCAATTTAACATGATTCCCCTGTGATTCTTGTGCACATTAAAGTTTGTGGAACATGGATATAAAACAATAGCTTAAGTAGAAATGATATGGTACACCAAATATTTTGTTAGCAGAAAAGCAAAATTCTGCTTAAAATCCAGCTAATTACATTAGAACAATTTAATTTCTCACTACAAAAGAATAAGGTTCATGTTATTCAGAATTATTTTGCAGG